GCGGTGCTCATTTCCATTTCAAAACTGAAGAGCCAGCGCTGTCCGAAGACGTCTCCGTGGTCATGTGGCCGGCGTGACTCAACACCAAAAGAGCACTGAATGCTGTTCCCTTCCCACCAAAGGTGGTTCCTATTTTTCTACTTGCATTTTTTACGTGCTTTCGAACTGCTAGGTTGGCAGAAGCTGGGACAAGGAACAGGAGCTCACTCCATTATGTGGCGCTAGGGATTTGAACCGCCGAACTGCCCATCTTTCTGATCGCTCGGCCTACCGTTCTTTAAATTAACTGAAATTAATGGCATTTATACGGTAACACTTGGGTTTTGCTGAAAAATGTTTACATTAAGCCACTTTGTTTCTGATGGAAGTCCTGTGATTCTAGGAATGATTTACACATATATATATTTTTGGTAGGCTGCTCCAGAGAAATGGATGAAATAGTGTTAGAGATTGGAGAAATAGGGGTGTTAGTGGTGGAGAGAAAGGAAATTCTGATTTTTAAAAGTTAAAAGATAGGAGGATTTTCCAAGAATCTCCCCCTCTCGAGAACATTTTTGAAGCCTGACATCAAGAGTTTGACAAACTTCTGAATCCGGCAGGCTCTGTTGTTTTTTTTTCCTTGCAAAGATGCTCAAATACCAATGAGTAATTAATTGCGAGAGAAAATGCTACTCTACTTTCCATCCCCAGAGTTGCGTGCTGGAAAATTTCTCTCTCACTCAGCAGAATGTTTGATGTTGCAACGGGAGCAGCCCACGAGCCATTGGCACCGAGATCTAATCAATATGAGCGCTGATTTAATTTGGCAGGAGGAAGAAACAACAACAAAGTTTTGTTCAGTTCCAGAGATGATTTAAGGAAAAGGAAAAAAAAAAGAAAAAGAAATAAGCAAGCCACAGATTTATTCCAGCACTGAAGCTTTCAAGAATGGTATTTAGATGCTTCAGCTCTTTTTGTAGAAAGCGTCTTCCCCTGTCACGTTGACATACTTCAAGGGCAACGACTTCCAGACATTTCAAATCCCCAAAGAATCCGACGGACAAATTTCCCGCCTTAGAAAATACCAAGGGTATAAATCATGGATATTAATTCCATCAGGCTACATACACTGAACAAAAACAAGAAGAGGTAGAGGAAGGAAAGACCCTGCCACCATGGAGAACACTGCAGTTGGATCAGTGGTGGGTTTCAAANCTGCCAGTTCAGCCGAACCGGTAGTAGCGGTGGCGGGGGGCTCCGCTCACCCGCCTGGATGCTTCTGCGCATGCGCAGAAGCGGAGAGCGTGCCCGAACCATTATAAAAAAATTAGCAACCTACCTCTATGTCTGTCTGTCTGTCTGTCTGTCTATCTTCCTTCCTTTTGAACATCTCCCTCCCCCCAGCTAGCCTTTCTTTTTAAACTTCCTCCACCTTTCCGCTGTTCCATCTCCCCATTTCAAGTCAGGGCTGAGGAGCCCCCCTTACCTATAAATATGGAAGCATTTAAAGAAAAACAATGAAGGAATACATTATCTCCGTATTCTGGACAGAAGAAATAGAGGCACAGATATAGTCCTCGGACTTACAGTAGTAATTAAGCCCACACTTTTGGTTGTAAGTTCTGAAGGTCACAAGCAGATCACCATGTGGCCGCCCCTGATTTTACAAACTTTTTTTTTTTTTTGCAGCGGCCATTAAGTGAATGCTGGAGTTGTTAAGCGCATCCATGGTTTGCTATGGGGCATTTTTATCCCCCCCTCAAGAACCGGAAGAGAGACTGAACGCATTTAGCTCTCTTTCCAAAGAATTTTAAATGTGTCCATAAGGATCCCTGGCTAGAGCTGAGCCATAGAGGCACCAGAAGGCCGATGTTGTGACCCAGCGTGACTGATTTGAAACAGCCCCTATCTTATTGCAATTTGGGGGGTGGGGGTTTCCCCACCTATAGGGAGTTTTTTGTCAAGGCAAAAAGAAATGAAAGTATTGCGATAGAGAAAGCAGGCAAATGTGATCACACGGAAATTTCTTCTCAGGGAGTTAATTGGTGTAGGCCTAGAAACCAGGAGACAGTGAATTCTAGTACTTCCGAAGGCCGTGATGGCGAACCTGTGGCACGCGTGCTACAGGTGGCACGCGGAGCCATTTGTTAGGGCACGCCAGGCGTTGCCATGTCAGCCCCAGCGCGCATACGGCTGCTGGCCAGCTGACTTACGCCTTCTTTTTCGGGTCTATGGGCAACCCGGAAGCTCGGGAATGGTGACTTGTGGTTTGCCCGTAGGACCGTTTTTTGCCAGAGGGCCTCTGGCGGGGGGAGGCTGTTTTCACCCTCACCCGGCTCCTAGAAATCCTCTGGCGCCTGGGGAAGGCAAAAAATGCACGCCAAAAAAGGGGGGGAAAGGTGCTGGTTGTGCACGCACGTGCGTGGGGGGTGTTGTGCGCATAGCATTATGAGTGTGGGCAAGCCCACACACGCCCCCCCCCCCCCCCGTGCTCCCCCCACTTTTGGCACATGATCCAAAAAGGGTAAGGCATCACTGGCCTAAGGCATGAAAGCCAGCTGGATGATTTTGGGCCAATCACTAGGAGACGGTGAATTCTAGTCCCATCTAAGGGCATGAAATCCTGCTGGGTGACTTTGGGGCGACACTCTCTTGGTCCAAATTTACCTCACAGGGTGGTTGCTCTGTGGAAAATAGGAGTAGTGGGGAATATCTGGTATGTTTCTTTCCTTGTGTTATTTATGAAGTAATAAAGATGGGATAAAAATTAGGAAGGAAGGAAGGAAGGAAGGAAGGAAGGAAGGAAGGAAG